ATGGGGGGAAAAGGTGCTATGATAAGGTTTTAAATAAATAATTCATAGAATTTAAAGAAAGAATCAAGTGTTTCGGGAACATCTAGTAGTTGTGACCCCTGCAAATGAGAAAAAGAGTAAAGAAATTTAATTTCTGAAGGCAAAGAAACTCATACAGGTTGTTGGCTTGTTTGTTTATGCCTCAGCCTTATTCTTATTAAAGAATTGGAGTTTAATTTCAGTGGAAATGATTTAAAGAGATTTAAAGTTTGGGAGCACTTGTCTTTCTTCCATTTACTTCACTCTGCCCTATGGTGAGTGGAATGTTTTGTTTGGGTTCTTCCAACTGCTTTTTAAAATATGTGTTCTAGACCATTTCCCAGAGTCACTGCAGGGTTAAGTCCAAGACCTGGGATATAGGGGAGAAACAGAGCTTATAGATGTCAGAGAGCCTGCCAAAGTTCACGTAAAGATTTTAGCATCTGTGATGCAATGTTAGGCTCAAGGGCACTAGGTGTGAGTGCTGCCTGCCCTAAGTAGTATGAATAAGATAAAAGGGGAGGGAGACACTGTTGACTTCTCATTACCTTTGTTGCCTTGTGTGTGCGATGTTGTTTATGCTCTGCCATGCCTATTTGTCATCCTTGCCTTGGAGTTTGCTAATTATGGACTGAAACCTCTATGACCTGCAAGCCAAATAAACCCTTCCCCTTAAAAGAAAGGATTCCAGCATCTATACTTTGCTAGTTATAAAACTATGAATCTTCCCACCCAATAAAATAGTTTTTATTGAGCTTTTCTTTGAAAAATTTGAATTAAGTCTTCTATTTGTCATTCCAGTCACTAGAGGGCAGAATAGTCACACTTCCTGGGACAGGTGTTATTCATTTTAACAGTGGGATGATGGAAAGAACACATTTGCCATTGTTTATCAACATAGGAATTTTATAGCAGTGTTCCTACAACTTAGTGATGCAAACTGATTAGCAGAAGACTTTGCTAAAATGCAGTTTTCTGGCCCTTATCCTCTAGATACTCTGATTTGAGAGCTGTGGGTGGATCTTAATGTTACATCAGGGGATTCTCATGGAGATCTTCTATTTTATTTTGTGAAACACTGATATGTTTTGTACATGCATTTGTGCCTGATTTTCTTTCTTCTTGTGATAGCAATGAAAATGATTATCTTGGAGAAAAAACAAAAGCAGAAACCAAGGTATAGGGAAACTAGAGCAATGGTCAATTTAAAAGGTGTTTCCCTCCTTTGTATAGGAAGACACACTTTGAAGATACTCACTATCAAAGAAGCTACAAGCAGGGCACTGGTGCTTAACTGTAATCTAGCTACTTGAGAGGCTGAAACAGAAGAATTGCAAGTTCAGGGCAGCTATGGCAACTTAGCAAGGCCCTGTCTCAAAATAAAAATAAAAAACAAAGGAAAGGCCTGGATGTAGCTCAGTGGTAGAGTACCCTTGAGTTCAGTCACCAGTACTGCAGGGGGAAAAAAAAAAAAGAAAAAGAAGCTGCAAAAAAAATACTATTTGGAGTGATTTCAATCAATACCATACAACTCTTACATTATGTGTCTAAAACTGTTTAATAAAATATCCCTTCTCACAAGGGCCCTAATTTTGTTTTGGGAATGTCATGAAGACCTCATTCCTAATGTTTTAGCATTGCAAGATACAGTTGCAGAGACCTGAGTAGAATTTATAATCATAAATGTCATCATCTTGAACAAGTATAGGTTGAGCATGCCTAATTTAAAAGGCTGAAATCCAAAATGCTCCAAAACCTGGAAGTTTTTGAGCACTTAATATTATAACTGCAAGTGGAAAGTTCCACACCACAAAACTTTTTCATGTACAAAATTATATTAAAATATTGTATAAAATGTCTTGAGGTCTAAGTATATAAGGTACATATGAAATGTAAATGAGTTTTTTTACCCCTGTGTACCATTCCCCTCAATATCTATGTCTATCAATCGACAGATCAATATAGATAGATAGATAGATAGATATTCCAAAATCTCAAACAATTCTGGCCCCAGGCACTTCAGATAAGTTATTTAATCCATGTAAAGAGCCTCTTTTATATGTAACGATTCATGTGTGGTAATGCATAGTCTCCTTCTAATAAATATGATTGATTGATTTGCTAGTATCCCTAGAGAGCAGTGGCATCTTGTGTAAATTTTTGCTATTGCTTTTAAATGGGAAAAAATTAATGTAGTGAAATATTCAAATCTGTGGTAAAAAGCTACAGCTCAAACAGTGAGATAGTGGAACTGTAACATGAAACTTAGTTCTGAAGCTGGGACTCTGACCAATGAAATAAAGATAGGATTTTTACACATATATGTAAAATCAGTTGGTCTTCAGTGAGTCTTAGAGAATACAACTCTCTCCTTTCACATTTTTCATATTAAGATTTTCCACCATTACTTCCTTTCTCCTTTCTGGCTTTTGGGGAAAGAGGATCTGTGATTATATGGCAGTGAAAAGAAATTCTGCAGTCTCTCAGTGTCTCTCTTGTTTGCACCCTCTCTCACACAAAGAGAGAAAATAAACTGTTTTTTTAAATTAAGGGCCAAAAGTCATGTCATTTTATATGTAATTTTTTAGAAGAGGGAACAAACATGCTTTTTGCAGGATTATACTATCTAAATCATGAACTTTAGTTAATGGCACTTTTAAAATATGCATGTTATTAGTCTGACAGTCTTTTTTTTGTTTGTTTGGTACCAGGGATCGAACTTGGGACCTTGTATTTGCAAGGCAGGTAAATCCCCAGCCCAATCTGACAGTCTTCTAAAGTTCGTTTTAATACTTACATTCATTATTGCACTGAAAGAATGCTCCTAGTGCAAGAACCACTAAAAGAGGTAATCCTTGAAAGTCCAATTAACTTCTAGTTAGAATAATTACTTTAGCAAGTCTAGTCATAGTCAAGATCTGGAAGAGATGATAAAATGAGTATCTGTGCATCATAATTATGATACACAGACTTGGGTTAACTTTATTATGCAGAACTGCTATGCCTGATATGAGAATTTGAATCTTTACAAAATAGGAAGGCTGACTTATATAAGAAATTTGATCCTTAGAAAATAGATTGGTAGACAAATAGCTGCAGCTCCCAATCTTTAATACTTAAAGATGTGTCAAGAGTGTATTTTCCACCCATCACCATCTCTAGCACTTGTGGTATCCAGGAAGAACCTTGGATGGTGGGAATTCCCTGGCTGGGTGTCTGTGTATCTTTCTTCTTTTCCCAGTGTCATGCAAATATTTTTTGTTTCTACCAATATGTGACAAATTTGGGAAAACTTCTTGAATTCATTTTAATTCTTGTTTTCTAACTATGATTAGTTGATGTCTTCCAAAGCATCACATGTACCCTGTCTTTTTTATTAACTATAAAAAGATCTCATGCAGCAGTTATTTTCATTTTCTACTTTGAAAAAGCTAAAACGAACTATGTAGTTTCTTCTAGAGTTCTAGTCCAAGTTGACTTAAAAATAAAAATAGTTTGAAAAACATTTAGGCCATCATGTATTTTGTAATACAGTTGGGTCACTGCCGATTCCCAAGATAAATGTGTTCAAACAGAAGCTTTCTCATTCATCATCAGCCTCAGCTTTCATCCACATTTATTTCATGATGATGCAAGAGTGTTGATGTTGCAGTTCATCACCATGGAAGTGTTTCTGTCAACAAATCCTTGCCTCACTATCATGAAATTGATTTTACAGGGAAAAGGAAGGTAAATGTGAAAGATTCCTTTACTCTTGAAGTTTGCCTGGAGGTCTAAATGAATTGTATTTAAAATCAGTAACTGGCAATACTGTAACACTGACAGTAAATTAACAGTTAAAAGGTTGGAAAAAGGAAAATGGCAAAGCGCTCCTTCGTCTGAAATTAGCTTTATGGGATGTGGCTTGGAAAACAGATTTATAATTTAAAATGTTTCTATGAAAGCTGTTGGCTGCTCAGAAATATGGATTATGGTTTGGAGGAGCCATGAATAAGTTATCAGTAGTTCTACAATGATTTGACTGAGTTTTTCTTTCCTGTCTTATAAATGTCATAACAATAACCACAGAAAAATTCAGTGTATATTACCCCCCTCTGTTGACATATTTTATGATTTTTTTAAAAAAATAAGCCTTTCCTATAACTTATGTTCATAATTATCTTTGGTTTTTATTTGCTTGAGAGGTTAAAACACAATTAAACTGTAAGCTTCTGATTGTAACCTTTTAAAAATTAGGGTAAAATACCACCTATATTAAAGTAATCCAAACTCTTTTGGGAACCAAATAGGAAAAAGGAACAAGAAAGACACTTTTGATTTGAAGCAGTGTTTCAAAGCTTGTCTGGATTCCAGATCTGATATAATATATGTTTTACATGAATTTCAGTCTATGTTAGAAATACGTATAGTCAACTATTGACTATCAAGATACCCTGCTTCCTATCACATTTTAAAGCATTTTACTTTCACCATAGGCAAATATGTGCTTAAAAGCAAATCATTTAACATTTTATCTATTAACTTTCTTAATAGATCCTAACCACTGTGCTATGTATCCCTATATTGAGATACATCCCAAGAATGACTTTAAACCTATCCTGAGAGATCCTATTGTGACTTCAAAGTCACGGAGATGTAAACTTTATTCAACCATTTTCTCCTTCTTTAAATATGATACAGAGGTTAACTAGAAAGTAGTTCCTGCTTGTGTTTTGTTTTGGGGGTTTTTTGGTACTGGGGATTGAACTCAGGACCTTGCGCTTGAGGAAGCAGGCAGTGGCACCACTGAGCTAAATCCCTAGCCCTCCTTGTTTTTTAAGAATCAATAAACATCATAAATAGGAGATAAAATTATATTGGACAGGCAAATATATAACAAATGACCAAAAATAATCCAGCAAGCAATGATAAAAATAACACTTTACTGCTTTATAATGTTAATGCTTTTCACCAAGACAAGTTACAGTCAAATTAAAGTGAGTTATGGAAAATGAAATACATGGAGATGTATTTATAGAAGTGCAGACTAAATATTTATTTTCCATACAGATATGTAAATGATGATATACAGTAAGTGCACACTTGATATGACTATGCAGGCAATATTTAGTTTTAGATACTCTTGAATAGTTCATGCACAAACCTTCCCAAAGTACAAGCTCATTCAGTCCTTTGGGGGATGTGGAAGGATCACTAAAAAAATAATGAGTTCCTTGCAAGAATATCAGTATGGAGTAGATGAGAGTGAGGGTGGTCAGTTATATATATTACTTACTGTAATTTGTGATTGTCGAGGAAGAGTTGTGGCTGTTGGTGTGATAGTAATACTGCTGGTGACTTTATTGGTTGTTTTGTTTAGTGTCCCATTAGTCATGCCTTGAGTTCTGTTATCCTGTAGTGGTGTTGACGGACTGGCAGGTCTCACAGGGCTGGCCACAGCTTGCATGTAAGGACTTCCTAAGTGAATGTGGATTTTATTATCCTCAGTAGTTATAACACTTGAACTATTACTATTTGAACGTTGAAACTGCCATGACTGTCTGTCTGGGGAAACTCTGAAAATTGCATGCTTGGCATTGATTTCTATTGGCTCTGGGGAGTGTGCCTGCTCATGGGAGCTAGTTGAGCCAGTCACAGCCAAAACCTGAATAGGTGACATTGTCCTTTCTGGAGTTATAGAATCACAAGACTCTGGGATCTGTGCTCTGGCAAAGGTTGCCATGGTAATTGGGGACATGCCTTGCTCTAAATTTATGAGGCCTTCGGTAGAAGTTTTGGACTTCATTGCTGTTATGGAGGCGTTTTGGAGAATAGTTATCCTTTGCTTTGGGGTGCCACAGTTTGGAATCACTGCAGTACTTGTATAACAGTGTGGACTCTCTGTGGTAGGACTTGTGATTTCAAGAGTAGCTGTATTTTGGACATGGTCTGGGGTAACCTTTATATGAAGTGGCTGCCCAGGTGTATGGCTTAGAACTAGGTCTCCAGGTTGTACAAAGTTGCCATTTGGTTTAGTTTGTATTTTTCCATTCTGAGGGCCCTCCTTAGATTTCATCCAAGGAATCCATAGCTTCCTATTTACAGGAAGGGGAGTTGATGGGTTGCATTTGAAGGACAGTGCAGATTCCTCCTCATTAGGGTCCTCATCCTGGTCCTCACTCTCATATAACTGACCATTGATGACTGCTCGTTCTAGAGGAATGAGACTCTTATAGTCTGGTGGTTCATTGTCTACTGCTTCTGTTTGGACTTCTTTAGAAAATACTTGAGGGTCAGAGATTCTTCTTCCATTGAGACTAAGCCGGTGGCTCTTATTAAAATGCCGGTACCGTTCTAATTCTTTAGTGAGGTTTTCAATCTCTCGGCCTAAATCTCTGTTCCTGTTTTCTTGTTGATTTAGTTTCTTTTGCAGAATTGAGTGATCTCCCTGGAGGTGGCATATTAGGTTCTCTGTTGCCATGTACTCATGAATTTTCTCTTTTAATGCATTCACTTCTCTTGAGAGATGCCCTGACTTAGCTTCTTCTTCTTGAAGCCTTTTAAAAAGCCATTGTTCATGGCTGGACTCTGTCTTTTCTGCTAACTTGTACTTGGAAAGTTCCATTTTAACATGTTCTAGCTCTTCAGTTAAAAATTGAGCTTTGTCTCTTTCATCAGCATACCTTCGTTCTAGAGTCTCATACTCATCTTCTGTTTTCATGAGGTCATCCTCAATGGCTTTCATATCCTTTAGTTTCAGTTTCAGTCTTTCCACTTCTTGAGAGAGCTCTTTAATCTTATTGTTTTCTTGGTGTAATGCTGTTGTGGATTTACCAGAGTCTTGATTTAATTGATTTTTAAGACAATCTTTCTCAGTTGCTTCAAGTGATTGGAGCCTGCTTTTCAACATACTAACTTTTGACAGGAGATCATTTCCTTTCTCCTCTTCTGCTTTCAGCTTATTTTTAAGATCATCTCTTTCCTTGGTTACACTATACATCTTTTCTTCTGCATCAGTTTTGGACTTGAGTGCCCTTTTAGTTTCTTCAATTAATTTCTCAGTAACTGTTGTTACTTTATTTTGCTCCACCTGAAGCTGAGAAGCAGCAGCTTGTAATTTATCTTCAGTTTGCTTTAACTTTTCACTCATTGTTTTCCGTTCATCTACAAGCATCACAGTTAATGCTTTTAATTTAGTTAAATCCTCCTTTAGGGTGAACTCTGTCTTTTCTAGCCTATTTTCAATGGTTTCTAACTCTTTGATTCTCACTTTTAAACTCTCTAGTTCTTGAGACAACTGTTTTGTGGTCATTTTTTCTTTTTCTAAGCTGCATTTCAAAGAGTAACATTCTTGTTTGCTTTTGTTGAAAGCATCTTCCAATTTTTCCAGAGCCATAATCCTTTTATTGAGTTTTTCAACCTCCAGTTTAAAGTCTTTACTCTGTGTGGTTTCCTTTTCAAGCCTCTTATTGAGATCTCTACACTGTTCCTCTATTTTTATGAGCTCTTCATCTTTCCCTTCCATATCTAACACACGTTTCCTGAGCTCCTCCACCTCAGCCGGTATACCAATGTTTCCATATTCTCCTTTGTTGATTTTTTCTTTTATATCTTGAAGCTCCTCTTCTGCTTTTCGTAAGGATCTGTTTGTTTCTTCTAACTCGTCAATTTGCCGGCTGAGGGCTGCCAGTTTTTGTCGGAGCTGGCGATTTTGACTGTCCTCGTTGGTGAGCTTTGCCATAATTTTGTCTTGGTTCTGATGAAACTTTGTGGTCTGGGTTTGCCGTTCTTTCTCTAGTCTGGTTGCCTTCTGCTCTTCTTCTTGAATTCTGGCTTCAGCAAGAGCCAATTTAGCATGTGTTTCCTTTGCACTTGTGGTCAGATCTTGGATTTTCTGTCTTTGAAGGGCTAGCTGTGCTGTCAGCCTTTGTTGTTCATCCACCACCATCAAAGCAAAAGACTTCAGCTTGGTCAGCTCTTCTTTCAGCTTTTCCTCTTCTTGCTCCTTCTTCTCCTGGGACTCAGTTTCTTGATCAATCAACTTCTTTAATCTGAAAAATATGAGTACATTCTGTTTTGTGATTGGTGCTTTAGTAACTCATTAGCTGTAAAAAAAAAAATATTTACACAATTGGAAAAATTGTATCGGTTCATTCATAATATTCAAAGAAGTTCCTAAATTTGATGAAGGAAGAGAATCTTGATAGATAACCTTGCTTTTTTATTTGACTACCATTGTTGAGTAACAGTGCAGTTCTTGAGGAGCCTTTATAGAAGAGGAAAGGCAAGAATACTTGTTTTAAAGGCTTGTGTAACATAATCAGTGGGCATTCTAGTCTGAAGGCTGTAAAAATAGGTGTAAGCTTGAGATTCAGTTAGACCTGGTTTAAGGAATTGAAGACTGCACCTATTCTTACCAGCTAACAAACCTGGGAACTTACTCAATATTACTGAGCCTTGGTTTCCTCACATAAGAAATAGGAGCAATAATTATATTTACCTCTGGGTCTTTCTGTAAAAAGTGAGGTAATTCACCTAAAATAATTCTGGTACACGGGAAAACATCTGATGTGTTGTTGCTCTTGTTCTTTTTAAAATTATGATTATTATATTTATTAAATGCTTGCTTGAATCATTCAAATATATGGTATTATTAATATCGGGTGTTTAACTCACTGATTTTTAGTTGAGATAAAATTTTATTCACATCAGGAGTTATGCACTTCACTGCACCCCTACGTTGCACCCCCGGTGAAAACTTGGTTTATACTAGCATGACATTATCCTGGAAACCACTTCAAATATATCTTTATCTAGCTAGTGAATGACAGTTAAATGAATGGAACTAAGACATCTGGACTGGGTCTGGAGTTTTCATAACGTGAAAAGAACAAGGAATTTGGTTGGAAGGGTCTTATTGATGAGAATCCAATTTTAGAAATGGTGGAGGAGAGGTATTATCAAGAACATATTGATTCCCTCATAATTGATGACTATTATAACATGCTACTTTTCCCGTTATATTTTAAATTTGTCTGAGTAACAGCAGGGCATTTTAAATGCAGAATAAATTCTTCCACACACTTTGTTAACTCAGTTGTGAGACTAGTTTTAAACTTGTGGCACTCTTAATTACAACTGGGAATGGGCTGATTACAGACAGTGTAATTAGAGCTCTGCAGTATTGTTATACAAAAGCTAAAATAGAATGGAATACCCGAAGAATTTAACGAAAGAATTTGTCATGAATAAAAATATAAATACTTGGTTTCTGATCAGGCCTAAAGAGTTCATAATGCTAACATCTTTTCTATTAGGAATGAGTTAATTATGCAATGCATGCCTTTCATCTTTGTCACAGAACTTTCTTTTGAAGGCTAAGGATTTGAAAGGACATTTTAAAAGAAAACCAATTTAGGGCCATTTTCTTAGAAATAATCCTTTTTTGAGATTCTAAGAGTTCTTAAAATCTAAACTCTGGCTGTGTTCAAAAATTGCACTACAGAGGAAAAACATGTTTAAAATAATTGTATAATTTTATAATGTAAGAATTCTCAAACTTGTAGGGAGATCCATTTTTAGTTTCTGTTGTTTGGAGAACCTGACAAAAGGCTGGCCCAAAGGCTAAATGGCCTGTGAAATTCCTAAGGGACTAAGCAGGATGCTGGGAAGGGAGAGTTGATGATGATTTCACTTAGATTCTGGTAAAAAGGTTTGTCTGTGGCTTCTGGCAGAGCCTTATTCCCTGAGACACCTGGAAACCTAAGAGAAACATAGCAGGTCCTTCCTGGATGGCTTTGAGACTTTGCAACTCAATGGTGGAGTCTAAGGGTTTATCAATGCTTTGCTGGTAAAACGGTTATAGAAACTTTGGCAAAGTGCTACTTCCTACTTTAGCATTCAAAATGGAGTTAATGGTCTTGACAATGGATTGAGCATAACTGTAGTGAAATATTTTCCCTTTGATATACCAATTCTTTGGGTTTTTTTGTTGTTGTTGATGTTGTTGTTTGTTTTTTGAGACAGGATCTCACTATGTAGTTGAGACTGACCTGGAACTCACTGTGTAGCCCAGGCTGGTCTCAAACTCACAGTGATCCTCCTGCCTCTGCCTCCCAAGTGCTGGGATTATAGGCATGCACCACCACGCCCTGCCTGATATACCAATTCTTACAGTTTTATTAAAGAACACTTTCACAAAAACTCTGAAGAGTTTCTTTCCAACATATTAAATAATAGCATGTGCTGTTTCATTTTTAAGAGATAGAGTTGCATTTTCTTAGGATATTAGGGAGGGAGGATTATTTTTGCAGTACAGTGAAGTGTTAAAATGAAATGGTGGTTACCCATTTTTCCCCCAAAATAAGACCTACCTGGGAAACAAGTTGTATCATGATTTTATAATAGACATCTCCTGAAAATCATGCTAGAACTTATGCAGTGCTTATTTTGGGGGAAACACAGTAGTGAATCTTGACAATGCAGTAAATGTTAAAGATTTTTTTTTTTTTAATTTCAGTTTTCACTGTTTATATTCTTGAAAGTAAGCATGATGTATCTTTTTCAGCAAGTGTGATGCATCCCCCCACCTCCTTTCATGGTTTTTATAAACTGGCTAGTATCCTTATCTGCTTCCCAAGCTCCATTTTACAAAATAGGCACATAAAATTGAGTACTTTTGCTCTGTTTCCTCAGTACTTTTTTCTCAATAACTTATTTCCCTGTGCCACTTGGATAAGCACCCCATGGCACAGTCAACCACCTCATTTGCTGAAGTCTATCAGGAAAGGAAATAGAAGTTTAAATGTAGGAAAATCTTTACCCCTAGCATCATCTCTGGTGTTCTGGACCAGAAACCAGTGAAAACCAGTAATCTCTCCACACGTTTCTGTGTATGTTGTGTACTGTGTATGCTGTGTATGTACATGTGTACATATCAGTCTATCTTTAGAAATAGACTCCATTGTCCTCCCTTATTTTGCTTTATTTAAGCAAACATACTAAAAAGTTTCTGAGTTAAGGTACACTTGGTGATTGTTTCTTCCTTGCTAAAGACCTGTTCTTTACCAGTGCTTCTTATAGTTTAATTTGCATTTGAATCATCAGGGAATGGGGGCGGCTGTTAACAGTTTATATACAAGCTCGCAGTGGATCTGCTGGCTCTCCGGATAGCAAGACTTTACATGTCAGATATTTCGTGGAAATAGGATTCTCAGGCTCATTGAAGTCAGGAAGGAACAGAGCCTGTGCTGTTCACATTGTCTCCAACCTAAAACATAGAAGTTTCTTTATCAAGGAGTATTAGCAGAACAGAGACTCTACCTAATGAAAAATTATCATTTTTCATTGTTTTGGATTCTTTTTGGTTTGTATTGTTGTAGAACAATGCTTTTCAAATGTTTCCTTTTTTTCTACTAAAAAATTAAGAATTTTTTGAAACCAGGAACCTCTTCATATATTTTAAGATTTTTTTTTTTTTTTAAACCAGTGATCGAACTCAGGACCTTTTCCTTGCGAGGCAGGCAGCAGAACCACAGAGCTAAATCCCAGGCCCCTAGATTTTTTTTTAATTCAAGGTTTAAATATTTGCAAAGGACGCATATATATGTGAATATATACATATATTTCTTTTTCATTTTCTTACCCTTTTTTGGTACTGAAGATTTAACCAGTCAAAAAATTTTTTGTTTGTTTTTTGGTACTGGGGATCGAACTCGGGACTTGTGCTTGTGAGGCAAGTAGCAGCACCACTGAGCTAAATCCCCAGCCCAAAAGATATTTTAATGTCTGCCATATTATCTAAAAGTCTTTATTAACAGGTGAGGCACCACTGAGCTACATCCCTGTCCTTCTTCTGGGACACAGAAGAATAAGATTTTCAAATTGTCTAGAGAAAATGTGTTTCTGTCTGATGCCTAAGAGGGCATTTCCAACCCAGGAAGATGCACTTCATAAGTTTGGTAAGCAAGGTGGCTATTTCCTAAGGGTTGTTAGAAAAGGACTTATAGAACACAAGCACTTTTCTGGGAGGTCAGTTGTGGAAAGGTTTTGTGTGTGTGTGTGTGTGTGTGTGTGTGTGTGTGTGTGTGTGTGTGTAAAAATGTAATGCGGATGTAACCCTGCAAAGTATTGGTGTACCTTCAGGGTGAAGACTACCGTCTTGGAGTACTCCTATTTATGTTTAAGTACTGGCACTACAGAATTACAGGAATAGCCACTGAATCCTGTCCAATACAAATAGGTTGTTAGGGCTGGGGATTTAGCTCAGTGGTGCCGCGCCTGCCTTGCAAGCGCAAGGTCCTGAGATCAATCCCCAGTACCACTCCCCCTGCCCCCCAAAAAACAGGTTGTGGAGAACAAATTTTATGGACATAAATGTGAAGCAATTAAATCCAAACTGGCTTTAAGCAATGGCTTATTACAGCTTTTCTTTTTAGTTTCTATTACGGGTTAGAATTGTTATAACTTACTGTGGTTTATCACTGTTATTATGTGCAATACCAGTTACTTGTTTTTTTTTTTTTTCTCCCTCCAAAATATCACATCTGTCATCTTGAGAGTTCTTTGGTACCAACCATAATGGTGGCTCTTCGATACAGATTATATATTCAAAAGATCTTTTCAGGGTTTTCTTTTTTTTTTTTTTTTTTTTTTTTTTTCTCTCCTGGTACCAGGGATCAAACTCAGGACCTTGTGCTTGCTAGGCAGGCACAGTGCACTGAGCTAAATCCCTAGCCCAGATCTTTTCAGGTTTTACTTATAAACATATATGTTGTACACATATACCTATATTTTACTGAATGTTAGTAATATCATATAATACACATATGAAGCAGATGCTGTGTCCAAGTGCCATAATGCCAGTGATACCCAGAAGAACTTATATTACAGTTCTCCTTACTTTTGATTTTACCTTACTTATATACACCACAGTCAACATTACTAAAATACAGAAATGATGAGTATCTTAGTGATTTTTGTTTTTAATAGTGCCTACTACAAAGTCCTTTAGAGGAAACCAAATGAGGGATAGGATATGTATGTGTGTTTG